AACTGTGCTAAAGCATTTATTTTTATCTTTTTTACAGTATATATTTTCCTCAGTTATTCTTTGAGTTGTGTAATTCAGAGTGAAAAGCAATTCAAGTTTTTGTTAAAAACAAACTATAAAAACCCTTCCATTTTTAGTCTTTTTAGTGTTTGTATTACTTGTTTTTAACTATAAAGATTTTGAAACTTGAATCTGGTCCATAAAACCAAAGTATTCTTTACATTAACAAAGAAGTAATGAAACCCTGTTAGCAGATTCTCTTGTCTGAAGCTTTTTTAACACAAGCATTTTAACAGCAAAGAATTGCTGCCAATCCCATCACTCAAGCTGAAAAATATTCCAAATGTATAATGTAAAATGTATAACGTATACAATTATATTTTGAAGGCAAGTACATTTTTTGTGAAAATGTTCCTTTTGCTGGATAACAGTGATGCCACACAAATATATGAAATATAAGCAGCAACCCTTTCGTTCTTATAAATAAAGGATGAGCTTTCTTTGGCAGAACAATTTTCTATCCATCCAAACTGTTCTCTTCTACTAAAGCATTTGAACAGTAGAAAACATACAAACTGCTTCATGAGGAAATTCTGCTTGGCATATAAATCTCAGCTGATTAAAACCAGTTTTTAACTGTTGAAGTGCTGGCATCCTCTGGCAAACTTTCTGGACTCACACTTAAAAATCCAAAGATTGGAAATACTGCTTTGTGATGAGCTTGTCACCACCCAGTGATGAGCTTGTCACCACCCACCTGTCTGATTGCTGATGTCACTCACTTACTTGCAAAGTGGAAAACAAAGAGGATTGTAATGATTAAAAAAATGGACTGTGCAAACTTTTGTTGTGACAAGGAAGATCAGTGACCACAGCTGAGGAACTACAGTACTGCAGTACAGTTATCAATCTTCAAGGCCTCTGGTAGGTTTATATATTGTTAAACATCTAATACTAGGTTTGCCTAATACTAATTAGTCAAATACTAACTTTAAGAATAGATGAAAAATCCAAACGAAAAAAAAAATACATTCTGATGTCACCCCTCACCTACATCCTTTACCTAGTATTTTTAGAAGTAGTGCATGGATTGTAAAATGGATTTTGCACTTGTAAAAAAATAAAAATTAACAGGACTGCTTTATTATTAATAAAGAACAATATCTTCCCAGAAAATGAGGAAAAAATTTTGAAAAGCTTAAATGGGTTCTAATTAATAGATGGATGTATTAGGAAGAAGTATGGAAATAAGTAAAGCCTCTTCTTAATCCTCAAAATAATATAAAATGAAGAAGAAATTTTTAATTGCATGTTCTGGTTTTCCTCTGCCTTTGAATACTTAATTCTATAACCTCATGTAATTTTTTAAGCCAGTAGCAACTGTTTTCAGGCCACTAATGAATTTTCTTTTTCTTAAACTTGGTCTTAGCTTTAAAAAAGTACAGGCATATTCAGGGATGCACACTCTATTCAGGATTCCTTGGGTAGAAAAGCTGAGACTTGTCAAGAATTGTATTTGCTAAAATTTTTTTGTGACATCTAATCAATGTTCATTGGCAGGTCATCGAGAGTGAAAAAATCTTACATTAAATTTTGTATTAAAAACTAAAAGGGTTAAACATTGTTTTCTTCATATTATGTCTCCAAAGAATATCCTTCATGTAGAGTATATAGAAGCTTCCTTGACAATAAATTATAAAAACATAAAGAAAGCCAGAAATATTAAGGCCATCATGAAGATAATAGCAGTGTACCTGCCACTTCAGCAAGGATTGTCTTTTATCATTAAGTTGCATTTTTTAAACTTGGCTTACAAAGACCATTCTTTTTTGCTAAAATTTCTCAAGAAGAGATGCTGCATAAAAAAGGACCATGTTTTTCATTGCCTAACATATAATCATCACCAGGTTTCCGTCTGTCATGCTAATTACTGAACATATTCATTCATTACTGCCAACAGCTGACATAGAGAGGAGTGACCCACACTTAACAGGTCTCACAGACAAATTTCCAGAGGACTGCAGAAAAGTAGAGCATTCTAGTAGACATGGGTGAGCTGAGTTTGCACTTCATGATACTTTGATGATGAACACTGCTTGAGTGTTTCATCGACTGAATAAAACGTTGTCCTCCTCATATACCAAAGCTGGGTCCTCCATGGTCTCCAGCAAAGTGTGACTGGTTTCCAGTTCATGGAATTGTTCTTTGGCAACAGCGGACATCAGCTGACTCCAGGTGATGTTAGTGTTTTTGAAAGCGTGCAACAGGAAGATGCCAATGATGATGCTGCAGAATCCACTCAGGGTTCCAATGATGTCACCCAGTTCCATACTACTCCACTCCTTGAACAAGATGATGGAGCACGTCACCACTGTTGTAGTGAAGCACACGTAATAAATGGGTGTCACAAGGGATGTGTTGAACACGTCCAGTGCTTTGTTGAGATAGTTGATCTGAGTGCTGACTGAGAGCACTAAGATGCCCACCAAAATATAAACCAATGGATGGCGATAGGCTGGCTTCCTCTCCAGCATTTGCTTAATGGCAATGCCCAGGCCTTTCACAGATGAGACAGAGAAGGCACCGATGAGTGAGCAAATTAAAATGTAGATCAGTATATTTGTCTGACCTCTCTTTGGAGCCACAACAACAATCAGGACAAGGGCAACGACTGTTAGGAGAACAGCAAATGTAACAAACGCTGTAAAAAAGAGGAAAGGGAAGAGTTAAGCACATGAGATAAAATACCTAACTATGTCCACGAACATGCTCAGAGCTGTTCAGTGTCCTGGACGCCTCCCTATGAACTGCAGCATGTGTTCACTGCAATTGCATACAGACCTACCTGGATCTTGCAGCTTTCTTTCCATCTCATCTAGTGAGGTGACCTCCTCCTCCTCTGGGGCATGAATAACCATGACTGTTGACCCCAAAATGCACAGTACACAGCCCAGCTTTCCATGAATATTCAGCTTCTCATTTAAAAAATAAGATGACAATATAGCACTGTTCAGCAAAACAGAAATAAAATGTTCGGCTCCATCAGCCACAAAAGACATTCAAAATCTCTCTGTGTAGCATAACAGTAATTCAAAACCTCTTTTGAATTTGGATATATGGTAAACCAGCCTGAAACAATCAAATTGTAAGGAGTTTTTCCAAGCAAGTTGGTCATGACCAAGAAGGTAAGCTCAGGTTTTAGGGAATTTTGCATAACTAAACCCTCATAGCTTCCCTCCAGGTTGTACAAGGGTTCAAATTGCTAAGGAACTCTTCATTCCTGATTGCCTGGGTCAGGGTAGTATGCACTTTCACTGTAGATAAACTACAAGAGCTGTTTCTTTCTTCCAAAAATGGTTCAAAGCACGTAATTTTCCATTACATCCAATGCACATGAGTTTTGGAAACTGGTCCTCATCCCTCCTCAGGCTCTCCCACCCAGGCACACTTTCTGTCTGGCTTGCCAGGATTCCTCCCAAAACACAGAGAAGGCATGTCCCCCTTCAAAGAGATAAACCCCAGGATCTCCACAGGGTTGATCATTTAACCTAAGGACAATAACATGGCCTAAATGCACCACTCACAGGGCATGATTAGCCTGTTACAGCACAGCTTTGGGCACAGGCACAGGCTTAATGTAAATCAAAATACAGACATTTTTTTCACACAAGGGTATTGAGTTCACTGACACGAATTTCTAACAGCCTCTCTGTCTCAAGGAAATTTGAACAATTGCTATTCCCATCAGAGAAGAGGACAATAAAACTCGAGGTGTTCTGCACAGCAGCAGCCAGGCAGCCCATTAATCTGCATCTACCAACAGGCTGGCCCCAGCACCACTGCAGGGACTCAGTTACACTAGTTTTCCTATGACAGAACAGCTGCAGTTTTAGCAGGTAGATTATTGCAAGCATCCTAGGGGGTTTTTTTCCCTTTGTTTGGTGGAGGGTTTTTTTTTTTGTGTTTTGGAGTTTTTGTGGGGGAGGGTTTGTTTGTTTGTTTGTTAGGGGTTAGTTTTGTTTAGGGTTTTTTTAATATATAGCACATGTTGTTTTAAACACAGTGTTTCATATAGTATACTCAGTTCTTAAAAGTCAGAGTTTCACATTTAAAACACAATAATTTCATTTTGCTAAAAAAATATTCCCTACATTGTACATGTAGTCCGTGTCTTTTCTGCTGCTACGATAGCCACATTAGTGTATGTGCTTAAGAACTTGGAAAGCATTTTTTAATTCATATGTAGGAAACAATAAGTCTCCATAGGACATTTATGTTTCAAAAGAACCACAAATTTTAATTGTGGATACAGAAGAAAGCTAAAATTTTCTTTGCCTTTTTTCCAGAAGGATTTCAGAAAGACGAAACAAAACCAAAAGGTTTACTAACCATGCCTTAATATGAAATTAAGCTCCTATAAATATAAATGTTTTTGAAAATATTTTGTGTAGGAATACTGTATTTTTATTTAAAGTTTTGTCACAACTGAAGAACAGGATAACAGTTTTAGAGACAGCTCCAGTTTTCTAGGAAGAGATAAATTACCTTCTATCAGCTGTATACCTGGTATATGCTGATAAGAATTACTTTGTCATCTAGGTGGAAAGCCACTGGGAAGGCATTCAGTGACCTTTGCAACAAGACTTTGATCCCATCTACCCAGAAAACTCAGATCTAAATAAGAAAAAATATCTTTCCACCAAGAAACAAAGAGCATTTTTTTGTCCATAAATTGCTTTTTCAGTTATCTTATTAAAAATCTCCACTTTCAGCCAAAGGTGGTATTTTTTTCCCTTCCCACAGTGAGTGGTTCATTTGCCAAGGCTTGCTCCCAATTGGTACTGACCTTATGAGAACACTCAGTGCACCCAAGGGGGTAACTAAGGTTGCAGGTGCAAAGGCATAGGCAGCAAAGTTTGCAGCTTCTCCTAATCCCACTGCAGAAAAAAGAATATTTGGTTCAGGTTGGAGGAGGATATTAAAAGGCACAGTATTGGAAATATTTTGTATGACAGCTATGGAAATATTGTATATATTGTATATATTGTATATATTGTATATATTGTATATATTGTATATATTGTATATATTGTATATATTGTATATATTGTATATATTGTATGACAGCTATTCTGGAAATAATAAGTGCTGAAGAAAGTTAAATACTTTTCTCCTAAGTACTCCTAGAAGCTGGACAGATGCAATTCCATTGCATTTGACCAGATATTGGAAAAAATATGGTTATTCTGCAAAAATGTCTGAAGATCAAATGCAGTATTTGAAAGATGGTATATCAGAACAGCTTGTCGTGTATGTGATTGCAAGGATATTTCTTTTAAGTGAAGGGAATGAAAAAACAGGCAACACATCTTTTTAAAACAATCTGTTTTTGTAGATTTACATGGAAGCTGAGAGGAAAGAGGTGACTTACTTGATAGCAGTCCAGCCCACCAAAGCCATTCCTTCAAATAAGAATATCCACCTTGTCCTGAAAGAGAAAAAATAACCTTATTTTAGAAGAAACAGATCACCTTATTGTAAGAAACAAAACGTACAGCTTCACATTTGCACCTACAAAGTAACAAAAGAGCATGTTACCTGGATGCAACAAGAAGAATATTTGATTTTGACTGACATTTTATTAACCACCCTACTACTTTGTGACTTGGACTTCTAAAAAATGCTATTTGACTAAATATACAAAGAGGGAAAGTTTCAAGCAAAAGTAAAATGTTTATAAAGACTGTTGGTGAGCTTAAGAAATGTTTCAAAATGCTTTTCCAGGTCAGATCCAATATATTCATACATTCAGCTGCAGTTTGACTCTCCTTTTCACAGAATCACAAAATGACTAAGTTGGAAAAGACCTTCAAGATCATCAAGTCCAGCTCAACCCTGACACCTCAACTAAACCATGGCACCGAGTGCCACATCCAGTCTTTTTTAAACACATCCAGGGACGTGACTCCACCACCTCCCCACGCAGACCATTCCAGTACTTTATCACCCTTTCTGTAAAAAACCTTTTCCTAATATCCAGCATATATTTCCCTTGACACAGTTTGAGACTGTGTCCTCTCATTCTGTCAGCTGCTCCTTGGAGAAAGAGACTGACCCCAGCTGCCTACAACCACCCTTCAGGAAGCTGTGGAGAGTGAAAAGGTCACCTCTGAGTCTCCTTTTCTCCAGGCTAAACAACCCCAGCTCCCTCAGTCATTCTTTACAGGGCTTGTGTTCCAAGCCCCTCATCAGCCTCATTATTGCCTCTTCTGGACACGCTCAAGTGTCTCAATGTCCCTCCTGGACTGGACACAGTTTTACTTCAGGTTGGAAGAAATTAGAAAGAAAAATGCCCCTATGTACATGACCTTTTTTTTTTTTTTAACATAAAATGTAATTGTATGGAATATTCAGAGTATTCAGTTATCAGAGTTTTTTTAAATAACCAGATTCTCTGGAATATAATATTGTAATGAACACAACAGACAAAAGAAAAACTGCCAATGTTATGTATTTAAATCCATGCAAAGGAAATAATGAGATTAGTGTGATTGTTCTTTTTCTAGCTCTTCATCTCTTGACTTTGACGAAGGGATAGCTGTACCAACTGTAGACACTTGTGTAATAAATATAGTTTCTACAACTCATTGCTCTTACTTAAAAAAAGCAGAGCAAAACCAAAAAACTAAACCAAATTACCAGCTAAAGACTTTCCATCTCAAATGAGGGGGGAAATGATCAAAAAAAAGAGGGAAAAAGGCATTTTGAAAGGTAAGAGAAGTGGAGAATTTTATTTGGTAACTAATTTCTCTCAATGAGGAAATAGCACCAGCTCACTAGATTTAATACCCTCTGAACCTCCATAGTTCTGAGTTCTGCAATCCCAGTCCCTGTAATCACACACAGATAAATAATAATGTCTCCATCTCTCACCAAGACAGGACCTCTGATCACCATTAAAGTACTTTTAAACATGTGATCTATGACTCAAACCTTGATTTTGTCAAGTTCTAAGAGGTGTTTGTGTCCCCAGCAGGAGTAATGCCGGCACCATCACTTACCAGCTCGGGTGACTCCTCTGTCTGCCAGTTTCAAAAGTCCTTTCTTCTTCAGTATGAAGCTAGAACCAATAAAGATACTGGAACCTATAGCCAAAGCCAAGCCAATGTAGAGGTGGTATTTGCTTCCAGAAGGCATGGGAAAGCTCCAGTTTGTTTCATTGCCAGACCCCTCCATAGAGGTGCGGGAAGGAGTGAGAGATTCAGACACGTTGATCATCTGGTACCATGCTTGGCAGGAGCAAGAAGAGAACACAACACCTGGGAGCAGAAAAAGAAGGACAAGTGATTCACAACACAGGCCCAACTCTGGAAGAGCCCTGTCCTCACTCTTCTCACTCCTTTTCATGTCTTTTCAGAGCACCTATAATTTCTGACTGTGCAAATAACACACAAAACCCACACAATGTACACAATGCTGCTCTGGGTCATTACCCACCCCTGTAGCTCACAGGTGATTACATTATTTGACATATATTATTTTACATTTCATTGGCTCAGACAAGCAATAAGAGAAATACCTAGGAATGCAACAAAAAAATATTAGCTTCAATTTAAAATTAAAATCTTAAAAGCTATCCTGAAACCTGAAGATGAAAGGGCTCTTTTTGTTGTGCAGAGACCACAAACATATAGGCAAATCCATGATTTTGGACTTTACCTGTTAAAGTAAACCTGCTGCTATTCAAGGCTTCTGTTTTTACATTGGTAGCTGAGACTGGAAAAGAAAAAGGAATAAGAGGAAGGAAAATCAAACAGGGAGCAAACCCTCACTGCATATGAGCACTAAGACATTTTATTAAAACGGTTCAGTGAATACTATGTAAGCCAAGTCTTATCTAACCAATCACAAAATTTTCAGGTGAAGGCCTCTTTACACCTCACAGCAAATTTAATCTAACCTCAATAAGCCCTGGATGGAGGTAGATCACAGGCCACAGGGGACAGTTCCCCCTTGCAACACCGCCGGAGAGCTGTGTGATTCTGAGCAGAGACCGAAGCTTCACACTCCCAGCCAGCCAAGCATTATCAGGCACTATGATGACAGCCTGTGGGAATGACATCATTGTTATCAGCCTGGATTTGTTTTTAAAGGAAGAAGAGGTATTGCATTTCCAAGAACAAAAGGAGTTGCTTTTTTGCATGGGGAAGCAGGGGTCAGGCAGCAAAGCTGCAACAGAGCTTAGGCAGTCTAGGCTGATGCCTCGTTTTGTCACAGTAGAGTGCATCAGGCAATCAGTGTGGTTTACAGACTCCAGGGATACCTTTAAAACAACCTTTTTTGAAAAGGAGATTTATTGTGAAGACATGTTAAAATATGAAGTACAAAAGCTCAGTCTACTGTGATACATATAAAGCATGGGATGCAATAAATAGTTTTGTTTCCTGTGTTTTCCCTGTAATTAAAATTACACATGAACAATTCATCCTGATGTGGCAGCATCAGTAATTCACTCACTTTTTTTCTTTCTTTCCTTCCCCCCCACCCTACAACTGAAAAAACACCACTTGGGGACTTGGTAGAAAAGAATGTGACTACTGTGTTCACATGTAACCTCTGGAAATAATAAAGTTATATCAAAGGTACTTCACTGAGCAATTAAAAAGAAGCAGACTTGGATAATTCATTTAATACAATTTAACAAGGAATAGTTAAAATACATAAGGGCTTAAAACCACCATATTTGCAGTTGGCAATGGCAGCATTAACTCTGGGAGACAGCGTCCTTTACAAGTAAGGAACAAGAGTGAGTACCTGCTCCCTGTTTTCTCGTTCCATACTGTACAATAAACATACTACAGGAAGTTATAATTTGATTTGCAGGCTGTGCAAACACATTTCCTTGTTTGCCAAGAGTGTTTCCATATAACAGGAGTTGTTTCGTATTGCTAAGTCAGACATAATAAAAATGTTCCCACAAGATGTGTGTTTGTATTCCACTGCTGAAGATTAAAGTGTTAGAGAACTTAGATCAATATGCAGTTACTATTGCACAGTATGTAGGATAGATACTATTCTACACTCTTATCATTAATAGAAAATACAGTTGGATAATGTAAAAATACAGAATTAGTATTTACACCTGAAAGTATTTTGAAATCCTAAACTATTAGCATAGTCTTAGAAGAAGAAAATTTTGCATATAATTGTTTTGACATAATTAGTGAGGAATAAATCACAAACAAAAATTACAGAAAAATCCTTTAAGCATAAATATATATTTTTTTTATTAAACACATATCAGGGCAAGACAAAAAATGATGCTGCTCATGGCATGGGGGTTGGTCTAGATAGCCTTCAAAGGTCCCTTCCAACCCAAACTATTCTATGATTCTGTGAAAAATAACAAACAATGGAGAGATGAATGAAATCCCTTAGCTCCCAATACCTATACTGATGCTAAACCAGGATGTGTGAGAAGCAGTAACATTCCTTAATTAAAGGAATTTAATTAAAAGAAAGGCCTTTAATTAAAAAAAAAACAAACATGATGATAAGCACTCCTGATAATCATTGTCTTTCAGCTACCTGCAACAGTAAAGACAGCTTTCTGCTTTTCAAGTGCATTGGGTTTCTACAGTGAAAAAAATAACTATTTTCTTCCCCCTTTTCTGTGACTGGTGTACCTTCATTTAGCTGGAGATCAATGGCAGGCTTATTTCATTTCATAAGACACTACTGCTACTTTTTCTACGTGTTCTAAAGTTTTTCATTCCTCAGCATACATTACAACATCAAATAAGGAAAATTTAATCATAGCATTTGTACTAAGTTATTCAGCAACTACCATAGGTTGTTCCTCTCCTTTCTGAATTGACCACATTCACAAAGAAACATTGGATTTATCACTGAGAAGAGTAATTTTGAATGCTTATTATCTCTGTTTATTGTGCTGGGCAGCTTTCCATAGTTTAAAAAAAAAAAGCCATTTGATCCACTTGCATGAGAAGTGGCATGTCACTGCACTGATCAAAGAACCATCTGAGAGATGGGAAGAGGAGGCTAATCCAGGAATTACTCTTATTTTACTATCCCTCTGAACACTCTGACGATCACTTGGAAAGGCTGAGGAAGGTGACAAACCACTGTGGCTGCGTGGCTTGCTCAGCACGGAGTTTCTGTAGCTAAGCTAGTTTCACCTCCTACTTCCAAATGTCAACAAACATGAACCTGTCAGCAGAACCCCTCCTTGTAGGAGTAATCTCTACCAGCTCTGACTCAAGGCTGGCAGCAACAGGAAAACAGACTGAGCTAAGGCAGTTGCTGGTACAACTTCTAAACGTTTTTATTTTATATAATTTTTTTCCCCTCTCCTCGAACACCGAAATATTCTCTATCGGAATTGGGTAGATCAGCCACCCAGGTGCTACACATTGCTTGTGACATGTCTAACTTGCAGTCCAGGGCGGACTTGCCCTGGCTTACGACAGCCAACTTGGCTCTTAACCTTCCATTGAAGATACTGGTCCTAAGTCATCTCGAAAACTAATTGCTTTGATTAGACAATAATTTGACCATTTCTACTGAGCTCACGACTCAGCCCACTCCTGGTAGAAACACGAAACGCCTTTCTCGGTCACCCGGGAAATACCAAGCCCACCTTTGCCAAGGCGCCGCTCCTGGTGCCAGAAGTGGGCGTACCGAGAAGCAGCGAGGCATTCTTCCCTGGCACACCCGGAGTGGAGACTCAGCAAAAGGCACAAAACAAAGCTGAAAAGGTGTTTAACCCGAGGCAGCCGCGGGAGAAGTGCAGGTGCCTCTCCGGCCGCGCCACTCCTCGGAAAACAACGGGGTGACGTGAGGGCGGAGGCAAGCGCCAGGCGTGCGGGGCTCCGGGCACCGCGCCCGCCCTGCGGGCTCGGGGCGCTGCGGGAGCGCCCCCTCCGTGTCCCGAGCCCCGC